GGTTCATCTGTCCTAGATTCCTGCGTTTCCAGTTCCCATCTGTACCGCTGTGCATCCTCTAGTCTAACCAGATTTTCAAGGTAGAATTGGGATCATGATAGTTGGGGGGAGGAAGCGTTTAAGAACTAGAGGAAGGTTGTGAGTTTCATTGTTGCTACACTCAACCCTGAGTGACTCATCTCCTCCCCACTACCCCTCTGCAAGGGATGTCCAGTTGTCGAATAAATGTATGAGAAGCTCCGGCTCAGTTCTATGAATCTGATCTTGAGTTGCATGATTCCCTTATCTCTTTCTAATCATATAAGGTAATAAGACTATGACTTCCAAGGTCTCAGAATGACACAATAAGTTGACCTTCACTTAAAATCATGTCTGTGAAGAATATAAAAAATTCCAGTGCCTGAAGAGCTACCCAAGGGGCAGGGTGTGAAAAGAAATGAGCAACTCAAAGGCGCACCTCAAGCTTCAGAAATGTTTAGGCTTTGAGGCTCTAGGTAGGAACTTGGAATTTAGAATGAGAAGGCTTATGGTTAAGGCCTAGCTACATTAAGCACTAGAAGTGAACTTTGGTTAATCAATTAACCCTAAGAGTCTCAGTTTCTTTAGGTATCAAAAAGGGGGCTTATCATATGACCTACCTTATAATGTTATTGAGAAAGTTAGAAGATATGAAATATATGAAAGCGCATTATAAACTCTAAAGTGCGGTGCAATACTATCACCTTTCAGTACCCACAGTGGCAAAGATAATGATAATTGGTTGCAGTACTTTCTCCCATACTGTCACAAAGGACATTTCTCCCTCTGCTTCCAGAATCATGTGGCAACTTTTAAAGTATGAAACAGAAAACCCTGGGTTCGGTATTAGCCTTATGCTTCATTTCTTGGATTGCTGGTGCTTCTAGGCATGGGAAAATGGTAAAAATGAGCATTTCATAACAATACTTGAGACTATTTGATAATAGGAAAACACAATAGAAAAACTTCATTTAGCTTTATGTTTTTATAAGCTCCTATATATGGATAAAATGCCAATATAAACCTTGAAATGTTTATTATTTCAGTTATCTACCTCATACTCTACCATGCCATCTTTGTGTTCTTTGCCTGGACCTACTGGAAGTCTATCTTTACACTCCCACAGCAGCCAAACCAGAAGGTAAGATTACTAGTCGCTTCATCAAGCTAAGTACAGAGTAAAGTAGAAATGATAACATATCATGAGAGAAGGCAGAAAGAGGAGTAAATAGCCTTCCATTATAAAGGAGAGATTGATGGTAACCTTGGTGGAAACGTATTAGTGATAAAGGTAACTTAAGAGACTGAGAGACAATTAAAAGAATTTGGAAACCACCAGCCATGGATAGTTTTCAGAGTAGAAGACCATTGTTTGCATTAATGATGTAATTATGGATACAAAAACCTCCTTGGATACTGAATACTATTCATCACTTCAATTATTTGTGATTTTTAAGAATGGTTTCTTAAAAATAAGAAACTATTATTTTAGGATCTGGCAAGACTCTGGAAATCATTTCAGAGGGAAAATCAATAATTAAATAAATTGTTTTGAACAGAATTTTTTCATTATAAGGGTTTTATGTAATATTTGGAGGGGTCTTATTAAATAATATGTGATCATGTCTATATTTGTCATGTTGTCATGTGTTACCACTGTAAACCAGGTTAGGTTCTGCAGTAGATACAAACAAACCAAGTAAATATAATGGTTTAAATAGTTCCCTTCAGGAAACCCAAATGGTTTCCTTGAAGAAGACAATTAAATACAAATGAAATAATTTAGGAATGGAAGAATAAAAAGAGATCTAAGAGAAAGTAAACAAATAGCAAAATGGCACATATAGATCTTACCTTATGAATAATTACACCAAATAGATTAATCCCTTCAAACAAATGGAAAAAAGAGGCAGAATGAACTTAAAAACACCATGCAACTATATGCTGTCTATAAAAGATACAGAATCAAATAAACAATTAGGTTCTAAATGAAATAAAGGAAAAGGATATTCAATGCAGATAGTAGCCAAATGTAAGGTAATGCAATTTTTTAATACGATCCTTCTATCCATGTTTCTGTAACTCCCCTTTGATGATTGGGTGAGGCTATGCCAATAGGGCATGCGTAACACGAATAGACGGGATTGGTCTGTTTTAGTTGCCACTCCTTAACCATCTCAGAAACAGGAACAAAGGGAATTCCTAGGACTACCATGGAAGAGCCATTAGTAGAATACATTTGGCATTTCTCCCTGCTTGAAGGGATGGAGGCAGTGTAAGCCCTGCCACGTCTACACCAGAGGTTGAGGCAAAGAGACCACGAGGCAGAGAAGAGTAGTGGCAAGACTGTGAGACTGTAAGGTAAAGTAGTGGGAGGGCGTCCTTGCCCATGGAGACCAGAGGCCAAGGGACCATATGGCTAAGTGGCTGCAGACCAGAGAAATAAACTTGGCTGCTGGTTGAGGACGAGTATTGCTGTGGACTAATGACTGCTCACTGATCCTGACTTGTGATAAATTGTTACCTTCCCTAATAACCAAAAGCCAAACTCTTTGCCATAGTCAATTTTGACTCATGGCCACCCTATCGGACAGGGTAGAATTACCCTTGTGAGCTTCAGAAACTAATTCTTTATGGGAGAAAAAAACCTCATCTTTCACACGGCTGGTTTCACACGGCTAACTTCATGGTTAGCAGCCCAATACATAACCCACTATGCCTCCAGGCCTCCCAACTTCCCCAAGAAACCGCTATAATTGTGAGTATTGTCTGTGAGTTCTGTATGACCATTGCAATGAATTATGGAACATAGCAGGAAAAGTAGAGTTGTGGGAGAAAAATTGGTGTCACAATAGGTAAAGAAAGATGGAGGGTGGAAGGTTGTCAGATTTCTGCCTTGTGGCAGTCAGCCTTGGTCAGACGTGGAGATGGGTTCTTCCTCTCCCTTGTCAATAGAGGTGGTCAGATGTGGCCCCAAGCCATTTTCACACCAAGTAAGGCCATATAACTAGGGTAGCTATATCAGACAAAATAGACTAAGTACAAAATTGTTAGAAAAGACAAAGGATATTGTATATTAACAAGAGTTGAAAAGAAATACAGACAGACTTGAAAAGAAATAAATACATTCATAATTATAATACCATTCAATACACAACTCTCAGTAATGGATAGGACAACTAGACACAAAATCAATAAGGAAATAAAAGGCTTTTAAAACCCTATAAACCAATTAGACCTAGTGCACACTAAGGTCAGTAAAAAGTATTGCTACAAAATCAATGAAATCTTTATTAAACAAAAATATTCAAGTGTGATGCTGTTGTTTCTCAGCATATCCTACATTAGGTCTGTGCGTTTCTGTAGGTGACATTTTCCTCTAACTCTTCCTGAAGAATTCTGTGCGTTCCTGTGCTCTTCAATTTATACCTTGTCAAAATGACAGCTTCGACATCCTTGTAGGTGCTGTTGAGTGGCTTCTGACTCTTAGGGATCCGATGTACAACAAAACAAAACAAAACACCACTCAGTCTTTCACCATCCTCACAATTGTTCTTATGTTTGAGCCCATCATTGCAGCCACAGTGTTAATCCATGTTGTAGAGAGGTCTGCCTCTTTTCCTCTGCCCTTCTACTTTATCAAGCACGATTTCCTTTTCCAAGGACTGGTCTCTCCTGATAACATGTCCAAAATACTTGAGACGAAGTCTTGCCATCCTTGCTTCTAAAGAGCATTTGGCTGAACTTCATTCACAACAGATTTGTTTGTTCTTTTGGCAGTCCATGGTATTTTTAATATTCTTGGCCAGCACCGTAATTCAAATGCCTAGATTTACTTTTGGTCTTCCTTATGTAATATCCAACTTTCATATGCATACAAGGTGATTTTGAAAATACTTAGCATCTTGAACTCCAGTCCCTTAAATGCCCATTATCCAATGGCACTGAGTTGAGTCCAAGTCATAGCCACCCTATAGGATAAAGTAAAATTACTCTTTAAGGTTTCTAAGATTGTAAATTTCTAAGGAGTAGATAGCCTTATCTTTCTCCTTAAGAGTAGCTGGTAGTTTGAATCACTGACCTTGCAGTTAGCAGCCCAGTGCTCAATCCATTGCACTAGTGGGGCTCCTTATCATATGGATGTTATTTATTGCAATGGCCCAAATTGCCACAGCACATTTCCAGATACCCCCTGCAGTGGTACCTTAAGATGGAAACTCTGAGAATGAATGACATTATAATATAAAGAATGCATCCCTAGGTATGTTTCTTGAAACAAAATGTTTGATTATATAACTTTCGATTTATGAGTCAAATATATTTAAATTACCCCAAATAAGTTATTAATTTATATTACTTATTTGCATTCTGTAATTTTATATTATTGTTTTTGAGACTATGTTTTGAGAGCAAAACATATACCAATTCAAATGTTCTGATATTGCAATGCAGTGAATTATTTAATATGGTTCTTCTAATCATAGCTTCTGTTACTACCAAGTGACCTTCATTTTCATGATGGGTCTAGGTAAGAAGGTGAGGTAAGATAGTTATTGGATTATAAGCTTCAGCTATCAGTGATTGTTAACAGGTTAATTGTGATTACCATTCTGCTAGGTATAAAATGAGCTATGATAGACGCAGGAAGGGAGGGAGGGGGTCTCAGTATCAGCAGAAGAGAAGAACAAAGAGAAGAACAGAGTAAAGGGCATCCTTTGGAAACCTGAATCCCTTCACAATGACAGCAGGGCTAGGAGCCAGAGCATAAGGCATAGTAGCAGATTTCTCAGTCCATAGCACATGTAAAGCTGAGTGTTTTGGGTCTGGCTTGTGGAGTAGAGTGCCTCCAGGCACTTAATTGGGGAGGCTGGCTTTGCTGAACCATGGATCCGAATCTGAGTGCCTTTAATCTGAGGCTTGTGGCAGAGTGGCATGCCCTTTGGGCATTTATTGACAGCCCTAAAAGAGCTTTGTAATATTGCCTGATCAGGACAGAGTACAAGCCAAGAAGCTGAAGGCCAGAGAACGGTAGAAACAGCATAGAAGAAATTGTTCTGACTAAACAACTGTGTTCTGAGCATTTCTCAGATGAATTGCAACCTGTTAATTTCCTAATAAACCCCATAACTGTGCATATTGTGTGTGCATTGCCTAGCCATTGCAATGAATTATTGAACCCAGTTATAGAAATAGAGTGGCATGGGTGAGATTGGTGGAGTCAGAATTGTATAAAAAGGGATGGAGGTTGCAGGCAAGTCTGACCTCTGCCTAGTAGCCATCAGCCTTGGGAGCTAGAAGAGGCCAGATATAACTCCACACCTCAATTTTCTCAAATGAGTACAATTCAAGGACATTAATTTACATTCTTTGAGTCTTAGAAATATTCTCACCTCCCCCAGTAACATGAACTCACTGCATCTGAGGTTTCTATCTAATCTTTCAAGTTGCTGTGTCACTTTGATCCCATATAGGCAGTTCTTAAAAGAGCATATGAGGTGGTGCCCCCACAAGACTGGAATTGTGCTGGGCAGATTGGAGCTTTCATTCTACGCATTTTTTCAGCTAGGCAAGGATCAAGCAACTTGCTCTGAGTTAGTGCACTCAGTGGCGTCACCTCGGAAGGTTCTCTCTGGTCCTAGTGGACTTTTTTTGTAAAAGCACTTTCGCTTGAACCTCATTTTTTTGTGATGGCTGATTTAAGAGAACAGTGTGCAGCTGTGAAATTTTGCTTCCTGCTCGGGAAAAATGCTGCAGAAACTGTTGTGATTGTGAACACACAAGGACAGCGCTATGGGGGAAAATCTCAAGTGTATGCGTGGTTTTCTCATTTCAAAAAAGGTGAAATGTCAGTTGGTTGATGACAAAACTCATTCTGGATGTGTCAACTTGCCAAATGGATGTAAATGTCGACTTGTAGTGCATTTGGAGTTTTATTCCACCAGGTCAGACTGTTAATCAAGCTTTCCATTTAGAGGTTCTGAAAAGGTTGCATAACAGTGGGCAACACAAAAGACCTGATTTGTGGCAGACAGGAGGCTGATTTTGCTACCATGACAGTGTACCTGCTCACACAGCCATCTCAGTGCGCCATTTTTTGGGCAAAAAAACAGTGTGCCTCTCTTGCCCTAGGCACCAGATTTA